ATTTCCGAAATGACTTTGTTTTTTAATAGGGTAGTCAGTATATAATAGGTCACAAACTGTACACTCGATCACAGCATCAATATTCAATTGGTGAGTTATTAGTTTAAACGCCTGTTTTTTACCAATCCCTGTGTGACTGACTAAGGACGAAGTATTCTTGGATAGCGTTCAGCGAAATTCAAAATTGCATCGACTATCGCTATTCACTCAGTCACTGGTTTTGAGGCCTAATCGAGTTCTTGTCGTGAATTGCGCTTGTTTTGCATGCTCTCAATTGTCGTTGTGTGTGTAGTTGTCAATGTGAGGTGTTTGGCTCCTCAATTTTGAATTTTAATTTTCAAACGATGCATGCATGTCATAAGGCCCCTAGTAAATTAATATCGAATAAAATTTAACGGAGTATAAATTGATACCAGGGAGCAAACGTTGAGGGATCACTGTACTTGGCGTTGTCCATGGCGATGATCACTCCATGCAGGTTGAGAGACTTGATCTCATCGTGAACCACTCCACAAATAAACCGTGTTTGAGCGTCGCTTGGTAGCCCTTGGTGCTACCAGCAAAACTATGGAGGCCCAGAAGCTTCCTTTCATGTTCAGGATCCCAGCGATAAAACAAAGACGTCTGCCCTTGTGCTTTGCCTTGGGTGGGTTGGAGTCAATGTCGCCGGTGTGGTATATGCTGTAGTTATGGCGCGCATAGTTGTGATAAATGTAGGTTCGTCGAGGTACACAATTATGCGCGGTGTCTCCTCATTAAGCGCCGCGGCAACACGTTTCACGACGACTTCATTGGTTAACCCGTATGAGATTCATTTCTGGTCCCAGCGCTTTAAAACGCGACTGGCGAGATAGACTTGAGTCGCGCGCAATGCCGAGGCCTTGTCCTTCGAATTGTCACTGTTGACGGTAAGAATACCATGTTCGCATAGCAGCTGCATGACGTCCCGGGAAACTACACGCGTTCGTGTAAGGCGTTTTTCGCGAATGAACTTTAAGACCAGGCTCATGGCTTGAGGTGTCCGCGGGATATGGGTCTTGTGGTTGTTGAGGTTGTAAGCCGGCGCCGAGATGAAGATGTCACCGTATTTGACAAAACGAGCACAAACGGATTGTACTGTCTTGTTACTACGGCCGAGAATACGCGCCACGTGGCCGGAAGGAGGATTTTACTTCACAAAAATGAATTTTAGAGATTATGTTCGAAAACTAATCATTTCTCGAAGGTTATTATTATGTAGAGTTAGCGATCACTGTGCAGGATTTACATAATAAAAATACACAAGCCATATTATTTTACATACGGGCGCGAATTGTTCCCATATGAAACAGCAGGTGCCACCAATATTCTCGCAAAATCAAAATGGTACATCGATATGACTGGATAAGAAGAGAATTTTTATCCAATCATATCACTTGCAGAAGTACTGGAGGATGACAAGCATTGCTGCCGCCCTTCTGCTCTGTCGCATGCGACGTCGTCGTCGTCAAAAGCGGCTGTTGCTGAGACCCCGTTTTTATCACACACTAACTGTAAATAACGAAATACACTTGAACTTTCACGAAAACCACATAGAAAACACATGGGCTTCCAGCACCAGTATTCGTTGGGGATGATCCCAAGGGAGTATAATCATGTGTTTGTTTACGATACTGGCGTGTCATCAGGTACCCGTATGGTCAGTCACACACATGGTTAATTGAGTTTTGGGTTGGGACGCCGTGACAGAGTACTCTGAGTAACTGTACCGGTAAGTTCAAAGTTATATAGTACTACTATGGATTGATAGTACTACTATAATTAATGTGCACTGAATTCTCAGTGTAATTTAACACGAATCGACGCCAGCACCAACCACTACATTGACGACCACCACACTTGTCAATATAGTGGCTGGTGGTTGGTGCTGACATGACTGTGGCGTCTGCCATCGTTGAGTATTCCTTCCTCAACGACGACAGACGCCATCGCCATGTCAGCACCAACCACCATGCAGCCCCGAACAGGAATGAACCACGCAAGGGGGTCGACCTACCACACCACTATGCATGTGCATGCATGCCCAACCACTTCAGAATTATACGAATAATCCCGCATGTATAAGGCAACAGTGGAGAATCACATGCAAGGTAGTTTTAGAACGACAGTGATGACAAGATTACATGTAGTCACCGTGAAATGAACGAGTCTTCGTATTACTCTTACATCATTTAACTCTTGTGTGTATAGCAAACACCTTAACAACGCAATTACCTACTAGTATAGTGTATGCACCATTAAGCAAATTAAGGTTGGATTCTTACGACCACATCGATCGACTTTGAATACAATACATGCAACACAAAGATCGTAATGTGGCGCTATCGCCAAGTAACCTCTTGTTGGCGTCGTCGAGCTCACGGCGTCGCGACATCGCTGTGTAGCCGCTTCCCTCTGGCACCCTTCTAACGCAGCCGCCCCATCGAGCGTGAGGAAATAATGAAATGAGATGTAAGGACTGGCGGGCTTTCCACATACACTCTGATTGGACAAAAACACACACACATGGACTGGCCAGATTCTACATTACAGTAACGTTACTGCAAGTTCAAGTACAAAGAAGTACGATTGATTGCGGGATTTGAACCCGGGGCATTAGCAACGCCGCTACATATCTCAACCACGACACTGTTGGAGCTGATATATCTGTTTGAACTTTACACTATATTAGTGCGAATTATAACACTGTGAGCACGACACCGTTGTTTATGCCTTTGGTGTCGACTCGCAAAGCAACTTAAGCCATGGATTACACTACCTGAAATGATAGTACTAGTATTGTGCTACTATGACAGTTCGGTTCTAGATAGATGTGCCTCACGTGTAGTGGTACAGGTTGCTTAGTGCAAAGTGGGTTTACGTGCTGGTACAGTACACTGTTTTCGCATGGATGTGCGTGCATTGGGGTTTGGGTGCATACCGAAGCGAATTCTAAAGTA